GTTTTCTTTTATTTTTCGTTTTTGTGTGTCTGCATGGTGTTTTTCGGGCAGCAGCTCCTGCCACCGTCACCAGACGTTTCTTTTCCACCTACTCTCCCGAGCCGGGCCACCGTGGAAGCCCTTCTTCCTGCTGGTCACGGTCATGCGGGAGAAGTCCCGCCCTCTTTTTTCCTGTCCCCATTGGTAGTCTGCGTGCACGTGTTTTCCGCAGTAAAACCGTGTTGTATAACTCTTTCCAGCAAAGTAACAATCCGCCATTACAAAGGTCGTCCTCCTTGATCCAGTTAACGAGTCAGAACTCTTCTCCCAACCAGCAGAGAGCCCCGCAGGTCATCGGGGTCATGCAGAGTCAAAACAGCAGCGCAGGCAACCGGGGACCCCGGCCGCTGGAGCAGGTCACCTGTTACAAGGTGAGTCCTGGGGCCGGGGGTGTGGCCGGGGGGTCTTCACAGTGGCTATTCCCTCATTCCCCAGAGAGTTAGCTGATTTTGAAGAATGAAGACATCTTTGTTTTTTGCTGATTGAAAGAGTAAAACTGGGTCACTCCAGTGAGCTAGAGACCATGCTACTTCCGTCCACGACACACTAAGGCCAGGTGAACAATTAAACACACGCTGTTGAATGAAAGGATTGCGCTTGCAAGAAAGGGATGGGAACCTTCCAGAGGCCGGGAACGAAGTGGGAGCACGAATCCAAGGAACAGAGTGAGCCCTGAAGCCTCTGGGTGTCCTCATATCCCAGGTGGGCACACCCAAAGGAAAGGGACAGAAGCTTTAGGCCCGCGTGGGGAGGAAATGGAGTAGAACCTCCACCCCCACCCACTCACAAAACGGGACGTTCAGGGAAAGGGTAAACTTTTTAAAAACTTACTGGAAAACTTGTCCATCTCACTCTTGGCTCAGGATGGAAAGAGGGGTGGGGAGAAAAGCCCTTCTGAGTTTGTCGTCACTGGCAGGCCCTTCCTTGAGTCTGGGCCTGTGTTCACAGCCTTGGTGAGGGCCAAAAAGCCACAGACTGAGTTTTCTAATCTAAAACAGCCCCGGATGGGTGAGCCCCTGGCACCCGACTTTGAGAAATTTATTCTCAACCCAGGCCACACAGAATTCCCACAACTAAGGTTCCCCAGAATGAGCTCATAATAAAAATGGTAGAAGGAAACAAGCACCACCGTCAGCACAACCACCAACAGAACTAGACTCACAAAGATTTCAGATGTGGAGATTATTAGATGAAATACAGAATTAGTACATGCTTTCTGTAAAACCTTTTAGATGATACAGAAGTGTTCAGCGTACAGTGTTGCCCTTTATTCCCACCGTTTTCCTAAAAGAGCCACTTCACTCAGCTGTTCTGTTCTCATGTTTTGTTTTCAATACCCCTTTACACTCCACAACTCCTACAGGGGACTCCACTCAGAGGAGTGCTCTTCTAAACTTTTATTCACACAAGCACAAGGACAATATATATTTTAATATAAATAGGGCCCTAGTATGTACAGTGTTCTGTAATCCCTTTTTCCTTATAACATATTCTGGATCTCTCTGTGTTGGCATAAGTAACTAATGTATTTCAGTGGCTACATAATTTTACCAGTTCTCTGTTGGTAAACAGTTCTCCGCCGGTAAACTATTAAGTTATAGTTTTTGCTGCTAAAAATAGTGCTGAATCTGACAGACATTTGTGAGCTCTTGTCTGGTGTCTGGAGCATCCATGCCTACAAGTAGAAGGGCCAAGTCAAAAAGCATATGCCTGTATTCCTAGAACTTGCCTTTGGGAAGAGCTGAGCCACTGGTCACTTCCCACAGCCATCAGACACTCATTGAGCACCTGCTCTGTCGGCTCCGCGCAGAAACCCACTGCTGTCACTCCTTCCCGGGAGGGGTCTGTGTTCTGAGGGAGTGGAAGGCAGGTGCCCAGACACCAAAGTTAAAAGTGCCCACGCATGTAGGGAAGGCCTCCCAGAGATGGCTGAGCCTGAGCCCTAACAGGTGAGGAGAGTATGGAAGGGGGGGCTGTGGAAGAAGGTGAGGGGAGACCAGACAGTTCTCAAGTGCAGTGAGGAGACTCGGGTGTCCTGAGTCAGCTGAGCTGTCCTGCCTCCTCCAGGACTTGTCGGCAGGGCCTCTGAAGCAAGCTCTCCTGAGTCCTGGAACCTTAGAAAGATGGGGCTGGGGATAGGGGACGAACCTAACAACCTCTTCCTACCACGGGCACAATTGATATTAAAGCCATCTCGGGGGAATCCTGATTCCCCAGGACCAGCCGCGGAGGCCAGTGGACAGGCCAAGGGCAGCACGCGGGGCCACGGAGTCCCTCCCTCTGGTTGTCACACCTGCCAAAGGTCCAGCTGGCAGCTACACAGGCCACTCGTCCACACGAGTTACACCTACAGATCAGAAAGACTTGAAAACACGGGGACTGTGCAGTCGGGGGAATAGAACAGGCCAAAGCCCCGAGTTCCAGACCAAGGAAGCAAGGACTGGGAGGGCCCTGGGTGGGTTAGCGTGGGGTGGGTGCCCCGACGTGTCTCCCGACCCCTTGTTCAGTGCTCGAGGCTGCCACTTCCTTATAATTCCCTTCTGCTTTCTGAGGAGTAACAGGAACGAATGAGGAGAAGCTAAGGAAGGGTCTGGATAATCAGCCGGACAAGTCAGGGTCCTGCTAGATTTTTTGAAGTGATTCTACCGGGTCTCTTCCCCCAAGTCTAATCATTGTCCCGTCTCTCTGATCCTGTGACCCAAACCTGGCCCAGGGGTAGCGTAGGCAAAAGTATGCACGAGCCAGGAGGGAAAGATCTTTGGGTGCAGCCCACCCTCTGTCCACGCAGTGAATCCCTGAGTTGGGGGAGGAGCCTGGTGGCTTCTGTTGCGTTGCCGCCTCCCCTGTCTCAGGGGAGTCCCAGAACTGTGCCTTAGAGGTAAGTGACTGGCCAGCCATGCAGAGGGGCTTGGTCCCTGGAGAGGCGGGAGAGCTGTGGTGCCACGGGCTTCTCTTCACCCCGCCCCCCACCACAAGAGTCCGCCGTGGCCTGCGTGCTCCCTTCTACCTGCTGAGCTGCTGGCTGTGGTTTCTGTGCCACTCTACCTTCTGGAGCTCCCCTTCCCTCGTGTTTGAATGAAAATCTGTGCCGCTGAGAATTTCAGAGTCCCTGCTCCCAACCTGGAATTTAGCGGGTGCTGCCTTAGTTGAAAATTGCATTTGAAACAATGTTTTTGTTTCCTCCTTCCCTTCCTGCTGTTTGCAGTGTGGTGAAAAAGGACACTACGCCAACAGATGCACCAAAGGGCACTTGGCCTTTCTCAGTGGACAGTGACAGCAGCTGGAGCCAGCTCAGAGCAACCGAGGGGCCCCGTTATTGGGGACCACTCTGGGCCATCTTTGGGAGTGTGCATTTAACTGTTTGATGCTGGTACAACTCTGGCTGGAGCTGGCAGGCAGGCATACTGGGTTTTATTCTGAGGGGCTACATCTGTCAGTTTCCCTATCATTTTGCTGTAATCTTTTTTTTTTTTTTTTAAGGGGGACATGTGCTCCAGTTCGGTCCCTCAAGTTGGGATCATGTTTGTCTAGGCATCAAGGCCTCCCATCTGGGACTCTGCACACCACCCTCTGGGGAGGGAGGATGTTGTGGGGAAGGGCTTGTGTGCAGCAGTTCTGTGAGGAAGGTGGCCCTTCCCCTCAGGGCCTCCTTAAACACCAGGGGCTGCTGGATCATTTAAAGCTGTGGCCAAGTCACACCTGCTTCCGCCCTATCCTGTTGAATCAGAGGCCGTGCCTATCCATGTGATTTGAACGAGACAGCCCTTCAGAGCAAACAAGTGTGGAGTTGCCTCTGCCGGTCCCGCTCCAGGGTGGCAGCAGTTGAGAGGACCATGTAGGGCTCTTGAGTGTGATGGCCTTTTTCCTCTGGGTTTATTTTCTCGGGGCACTTGCTCAACAATGTTTAAGGTATACCTTAAGCTGGGGCTGCAGACACCCTTGAAATAGGCGATGCAGTCCATCTGTGCACCTACCTCCTGCCCCATCCAGCATCTGCACTGTCACACACCTCTGGCCTGGAGGAGAGGACCCTGCCTCCGAGCCTGCAACCTGCTGGACAAGTGGGCCTATTCAAGTTCAATTACAAGAACAATTTTTATGAAGTTGATTAAAGCTTGTTTTTTAAGCTCTGTCTCATTACTTCGGGGACTCCATGCCGAGAGGATTCTTGCTACTGGCTGCATTAGCTGCCTGGCACGAAGCTTTGACATTGGTGCTCGCTTTTCCGCTTTTGGTGAATGTGTCTCACGACCGGAAGTGATGCTGTCAGAGGAAGAAAAGGCCTTTGTACTGGCAGCCTGTACAGTCTGGAAGCCTGGCCTTTGGGCCAGCCACCTGGCAGATGTCCTTTATTTCTGATGTTGAATACTTGTTCCTTCAAATTCACATCTTGCAGGAGATAATTAGCCACAGCATTTCATCCTATACTCCATGAAGTATATATGCTTATCGCACACCCCCTAATAAGAAACTGATTCTGACCTTAATTATCACATTACTGAAGGCCTTGGTGAAGGATAAAGAGGGTGCTGGATACAGCAGTTGAGAGCTCGTATCAGGGCCTGTGCTTTCCCTTTCCGCCTTCATCATCCCATTGAGCTTCCTGCAAGTGGAGCTTACTTACCAGGACCAGGGGGTCCCACACGTCCCAATTCCCTGACATCCCAATACCCCGGATGGTGCAGAAGATGGGGAAGGGGAGGGCATTCTTAGGAACGAGGGTTTCTGCTTTATATTGTGAAAGTGTCAGCTGACAAAAGGCCAAAAATGAGGCACAGAGCAGGAAAACACCTCGGCACTGTTGGCGGAGGCTCTAGGTGACCCCCCAACACACTGGGACGAGATCTTGAAGCTCCATGGTTCAAAGCCCTGGGCTGTCTAGGAGCTGCAGAATGACCCCACCCCACCTTGTGCAACAGGAGCTCCTATAGGGCAGGGAAATGGCTGAACCAGTGAGGCAGTCCGCATACCAGTCATCTTTTATTGGGTGTTAATTCTCCACTAGGATATAAAAGGATTCAGGGGTGCCAGGCAAAGGTCATGGTCAGGAATGCAGAGTGCGCCCTCTTCAGTGGTACTTGCGTAGCCGCTCGTGTTCTGAAGTTAGAAAGGCAAAATGGTAAGTTTCTTCACAGGTGGAGGTGAAGCCATCCTGAGAATTCCTTTCAGGAGATGACCCAGAACCTACTTGTGGAATTTACAGCTAATCTGCCACCTGGCCAGCCTCTTCCTTCCCTGGGGGAACACCCACTCAGAAAAACAACAGCACCCAAGCGCCCACCCTTCAGGGCCAGCACTGTTCTGGATGCCACAGAGTGGCAGGTGGCTCGGCACTGGCAGAAACAGCCCATGAAGCCCACTCAGCGGCCACCAGACATCTCCCACCAGACCAACTCCTCTCATGTCTCAGCACCAGGAACAGCCACGCTTTTCCAGAGCACCAGACACTGGACTGTAGCACTCAACCTATTTCCCTCTTCACACTGGCTGCTAGGAAGATAAAGCCAAGTTTTCCACCAACCTTTGGCAGAGCCTGCAGTGGCTGACAGAATGCTGCCTAAGTATTACCTTTACCCCAGCTTCATCTTATTTTTCCTGTCTTTCTCTTTGCCACAATTTTTGCATTTAAAATACGCTATATTCTGAAAAGTCCCTCCAAGTCATCAGCTTGTCTGCAGGGTGATGGACTTCTAAGGTTGAAAGTGAACCAATACCACCCTGTCATGGGAAACCCCACTGAAGGCAAACCAACCCAGAAGAGACTCACTGAGTTCCTTGTAAGAACGGCAGTAGTTGAAAAGCATGTAAGCTGCAAGCACCATAGAAAGCCCAGCGATGCTCCCTTTCTTCACGTTGATGTACTTGTTGTAATACCGGTAGTAACCTGCAAAGTGGAGAGGAGGCCACTCCTCTGAGGGCACATTCTACACGTTCTAATAGGAGAGGGCAAAGTTGAGGAAAGGCCTGGGGGCAGGAACAAACAGTACACAAAAGACAGCCACAGGGTAGCCAGAATTATATAGAGAAAAACATCAAGATGGGGGCCCCTGAGGAGGCTGGCAACCACACAGGCTCCCAAAGGATGATGACATGATGACACAGGACTGCTCTGCACTTTAAAATGCACAGACCTGAAGGATAGACCATTTCAAATACTCATCTTGAAAGTTCTGCCTGGCAGGGAGATGAGCATTATAGACTCATGTCCCCTGTTCTTCCAACTCATTTTCCTCTTAAGTCTTATGACATTTCTTTAAGACAGAGGTACTGGTACCGATTCCAAGCAATAGAAAACATTTCCTTGTCTGAAATATCTCAGAGCCAGCCTTTGATAGGACCGATCAAACATGGAAATTCGAGGGCTAACAATCTCGCTCTGTCCTTCTCTACATAACTTACTGGTCTGAGACAAGGCTTGTACTGGCCAAAGTAATTCAGGGCAAAGAAAGACCCGTTTGCCCTGAAGACGCAGAGATGTGCTTTTATTTACACATGCCCATAAGGCTCTGACCTCTTTGAAACGCTCCAGCAATGCCTTTAGGGGTGAAATCCCGCATCAGTATCCAGCTTGGCAGCTCCCCTAGTTTGACTTCCAGGAGCTTCTTGTCCTTCAGTGGTACTGAAAAGGAAGTGCAAAAAAACACACACTGGAAGGTCTCCCAATAACACAAACAGCAACCTTCTGTGTCACTTATTTCAACCATTCAATAAAGGTGCGTTCAGTAACGTTACTAAATAGAGGCTGCATATGAGCAATATTATAAACAAACACGTCACACCAGATATACTATTTTAAGCCAGAGTCTATATAATGGCAGAACAGGCTTTTGAATAAAAGCTTGCTGGGAATAACTATGTAAAAAGAGAACTAAGGGCCATGAGGAAGAGGTAAAGCAGAGGACAGATGCCTTTATAAGTAGGAGTGGGGGAGACAGAGAAGCTGGGCACATCTTGGCCAAAGGCACACAGCATGCAGGCCATGGAGGCAGGGTTCCACCTTAGGTCTGGCTCTCATGCTCCTGAAGCCAATCTGATTTCTACCTCAAGCATCCTACCTCAGACCACAGATGTCAAATGACTTAGTAAAAACCACTCTAAAGACCCAACAGGCCACAGATCATTTTCCAATGAGAATCTGGGGACAGGAACGGCTCCTGGTTGAGGCCATACTGTATTCATCTCTGGGCTTAAGAGTAACATAGGAAGGGGGCCAGGGAGGGGTTGGCCCTGTGAATATCCAGATGCTCTTAAGGACAGAATCTCTCTTCCCCTGTCCTCTTCCAAAAGATCAACTTTAAAAAGCTGTTTGGGGCTTCCCTGGTGGTCCAGTGGCTAAGACTCTGTGCTCCAAATGCAGGGGGCCCAGGTTCAATCCCTGGTCAGGCAACTAGATCCCGTATGCTGCAACTAAGATCCCGCATGCCGGGACTCAGGCTCCTTAAGGACCATCCTCAAGAGTCCACTGAGGGGAATCCCACAGGTCTCTTGACGTCTCCCAACCCTTATCAAGGACAAGGGCCTTCAGGCTTAATGGCAGCTTCTACTCTGCTACAGGCTGTCTGGAGAATGAGACACATGGCCTTGATGGACCAGAATGACTGCTTGTCAAGAGGTCACAAGTGACAGGTGGAGGCACACCTGGTTTTAGGGTCATGGTTCAGGTGGCCTGTCCCCAACAAACTGGCCCCAACCTTCCATCTAGACTTATCCAAACACATGGAGCACCTACTGTGTGCTAGGCCGCCTGCTAAGCACTGTGGGTACAGCACTGACTGCAGATGACAGCCTTGTGCTCAGAAGCCAGCATTCCATCGAGAAAGGCAGCCATCTCAAATCCACTCATCCTCCTGGGTTCACCACACTTCAGCCAAACCCTTTTCTGTTTCTCAGATGCAACAGGATTATTTTCACCTGAGGGCCTTTGTATCTGCAGTGCCCCTGGATCATCACAGGGCTATCTCAACTTAACGGTCATCTCCTAGAAGGCCTCCTGCCCTGCCCGCCTTATCTCAAGCACCAGCACTTCCTTCCTATGTAACCTCTGAGCTCCAGTTTCCTCCTCTGTGAAATGGCTTATTCCAAGGTTTGAAGGAGAATCTATGTAAAAGCATTTGGAACATGCTCAGAACTGTAAGCTGTTATTATTACTGTTGAAATCTCTTTAAGGTCCATGTGAAACATCCAAGAAAAAAAAAGGGAGGTGGCAGAGAAAGAAATGGCATATAACTGAACTTTAGGACATTCATAGAGCTTCAGGGATTAACTGCACCCTTTAGTTCTTTTATGAACAGAAACTGTGATTAGTTTGGTAATACTTTTGAAATGTGAGATAGTCTCAAATGAATTTCAGGAATGTTCCAAATCAGGAATATTGAGTGTCAATGATATTGAGCTCAACACCAAACAATAATGTCATCTGAGAATGACCTATACCCTACTCTGTCACCTTGCCTGTGTTATTTCAAGAAAAGTTTAACAAGTACACATCTTACATCCCATCAAGTTTTGTCATCACTTGAATTAGTAGGCTTTTAGTCCAAGAATTACTATACCACGTCTCTTGAGTAAGAACATGGTGGCTACCTTTGCTACACTCTCAAAGTCTTCTTGCATGCAGGGAGGAGTACAAACATGTCATTCTAATACCAACTGGCTTTAAATATGGCAATGTGGTACGGAGGGGACGATGAAGGGACAGATGGAACTAGAATGGCAGAATGCTGCTAACTGTTGATGCTCTGTAACGAATACAAAGCATTCATTACATTATTCTGTTTTCTTTGTATTTGAAGTCTTCCATAATAAAAAGGTTGAAAATGCTTTTAAAAATAGAACTATGTTGGGACTTCCCTGGTGGCCCAGTGGTTGAGAATCCGCCTGCCAATCAATGCAGGGGACACGGGTTCAAGCCCTGGTCAGGGAAGATCCCACATGCCGTGCAGCAACAAAGCCCGTGTGCCACAACTACTGAGCCTGCGCTCTAGAGCCCGTGAGCCACAACTACTGAGCCCACGCGCCACAACCGCTGAAGCCCGCGTGCCTAGAGCCCGTGCTCCACAATGGGAGAGGCCACGGTAATGAGAAGCCCGCACACCACAACGAAGAGTAGCCCCCGTTCGCCACAACTCGAGAAAGCCCGCAAGCAGCAACAAAGACCCAATGCAGCCAAAAATAAATAAATAAATAATTTTAAAAATAGAACTATGTTGGGGAAATGTGCAAGAGAAACAGAATTTTAAAAATATTTTCAACTGGTATAGGGCTGGTGACTCAAAAGAAAAAAGTATTTAGGTCACTGCTAGGCCCAGTGAAGCTATTTTTTTCACATTCACACAAACTATGAAAACATATTCTCATTCTCACATTCAGGGGCTGACACAGTGCCTTGGCACATCACAGGAGAAAAAAGCCAACAATTTATTTTTCTTCATATTTATATCTCTGTACTATGAAGAAAACAGCACTTCCATAACCAAAACTAAGAAATTTATAAGCACAGAAAAAAAAATCACATTAGCCTTAAGGAGAGCCAAGTACAGCACCATCACAAAATTCCAAGAGACCATCAGATTCATCAGAGATGCATCTACACTTATTCCGAAGTTTCTCTTTTAGTGGAAGGCAAAGGCCTTAGTCCTTGGCAGCCATACTGAAACCCTCCCCCAACACTCCTCTGCAGCGGCTGGTTCACACCAGTAGAGTATACTGATGAACAGAGCCGCCTCTACCATGGAGTATTCTGGATTTACTGCCACTTTGAAGCTGTGTGCCCTTGGGCAAGATACTGCTCTGTTTCCTCCTTTGTAAAATAAGGCTATGGGACTTCCCTGGTGGCGCAGTGGTTAAGAATCCGCCTGCCGATGCAGGGGACACGGGTTCGTGACCCGGTCCGGGAAGATCCCACATGCCGCGGAGCAGCTGGGCCCGTGAGCCATGGCCGCTGAGCCTGCGCGTCCGGAACCTGTGTTCCGCAACGGGAGAGGCCGCAGCAGTGAGAGGCCCGTGTACCGCAAAAAAAAAAAAAAAAAAAGGTAAGAATAGTACCCACCTCGGTACTTAGCTCTAGGTACTATGTAAATAGGAATTATTATCTGTCTTTCTGCTTATGAGCTATCTAAAGGTGGGAGGGAGTTCCCCACACACAGTTCCTGTTTATGACAGATTTTCAGTGAAGGCTGAGAAAGGACCACAGGTTCTTGGGAGGGCAGGTGACTACTTGGCTTGATTTTATGACTTCAAGAAGCATACTGTCCACCTATATGGAGAGACATGGAAATGCCAAGTGTCTTCTGGGTGCTAAATCCAACTCTGGGGTTGGCCAGAGCAAGAGTTTTAGGTTTTGCAGGCCACACAAGGTCTCTAACATAGTCTTTTTTTTAACTATTTTTTATTTTTTTTATTTTTATGTTTTTGGGCTGCGCCGTGCAGTATACGGGATCTTAGTTCCCTGACCAGGGATCGAACCCGTGCCCTCTGCGGTGGAGTCTTAACCACTGGACCGCCAAGGAAGTCCCTTAACAAATTTTTTAAAAAACAGAAACTATTCTTAGCTCACAGCATACAAAAACAGGCCACATGAAATCCAGCCCATTGGCCATACTTTGTCAACCCTGATCTCATCTATCACTGTTAATTGGTATTTCCATCACTTTATTTGCTAATGGACTAGTGGCGTTATGCTCTGGCAACAGACACCATCTGAAAGATCATCAGTACTTGGACTCCAGTTCCTTCACCTGCATGATGCTGAATGGGCCAGATGTGACATGACCTTACCCAAAGGTCACGCAGGGAAAGCTGGACGACTAGCATTCAACTGTGGGTCAGGCAGTGTTACAAGCACCTTACATATACTAAGTTGTTTAACCCTTAGTTCATAGCACTCTCCATCTCCACTACAACCCTCTGCTTAAATAAGATACCAAGTCTCAATGCTTCCTTTTCACATGTTGTCTGTTTAAACAACATAACCACCCTGGATAAATATTCTCATGCCCGTTTTAACAGATGGGAAAAAAGCATCACTCTCATATTTTTTGATCCCCTTTTCATTTCTCCGGGCTGAAAATAAGAATATAGAAACTGGGGTAAGACACACATAGATTAGTCAAAATTCTGCCACTATCACGCTGTGTGACAGCAGGCAAGCCACACCACATCTCTAACCGTTATTTTCCTCATCTTTAAAATGGGATCAACGTTCCCAGCACTGATCCTGACAAGGCTACAGTGAGGATGCAGGGCTAAAACATGGTGGCTTCCGAATTTAAAAAAAAAAAAACAAAAAAAAAAAACAGTGTGGACGGTCCGATTTATACATGCATGTCATCGTAAAGCCTGCTGGTCATAAGGTCACCCTTGTGATTAAAGCTCAGGTTACCACGAGGCCCCAGAAACCTAGGTTTGAATCCCAGCTCAGCCCCCTCACTAGTAGTGACCTTGAATAGGTCACTTCACCTCTCTAACGCTATTCAACATATATATACATGCGTCAACCCCGACGTGGTGTCAGGCACCATCCTAGGCATTAGCTCCTCTTGGAACTTAATTTGAGCTTCGAATTTGCGCGGAGGGCTCAGATGCAAAACAAGCGCCTGGGTTGCGGCAGGGCTGAGAGCAGCTATTCCTCAGCGGGGAGAGGAGGGGTGGCCCGAGACAGCGCATTCTCAAGACCCGAGGCGCCTCGCCGAGCTGCCGTCGCCCTCCCCGCCACAGCTGAGTGGCGCGGACCCTGGGCAGGCGGGAGGCGCGGCGGGGCGAGCTAAGAAGGGTTGGACGGCGTGGGGCCCTGGGCAAAGGGCCCGGCGCGGCGAAGGTCCTGAGCGAAGGGCAGGCGGCTCCGGCACTCGGTCCCTCCCCTCCAAGTGCGGCTCTGAGCACTGGACCCCGAACCCCGACTCCTGCCTTTAACCTGGTAGCCCTAAACCGATCCGGAAACTTACCAATTGACGCCATCTTGAAGCCCTGGCTGTCCGCTCCTCCGGGCCGCGCGAGGACTGCTGGGTAGGGAGCATGCGCCCTGGGGGCCGGGAGCAGAGGCTCACGGGAAGCAGGTCGCGACTGGTACGAGGCTGGGACTTCAGGTGTGCCGTGGTGTGAAGGGCGAAGAAACTGGAGAGCAAAGCCCCGCGACCCCGCAGTTGGGAACCCGGGGGTGGTGAAGGGGTGGGAGTGGAAGTGGTAGGACTCAACCTGGGCTCCCAGTTCTGGGAGGAAAGAGACTGGAAAGGACACCCCCCCCAAAAAAAATAATAAAAGGGAGGTGAGGAAAGAGCATCCTAGCTTTCTTATTCTGTCGTGTTAAATTTGTTGTGAAAGATGACAGGAGCATCTTAAGACCCTTCCTCCCAACTGTGCTTGATGGGAGATTAAAGGAATCCCCAATCAGCAGGAAAAGCCAGTGTCCAGGCTTAGGCTCCAAATAGGTTTGATTCAGGAGTATCTAATGTGTCCAGGCTCTGGCGCTACGCTCTAAGGACAGAAATAAGCAAGACCCTAGGGTACACAGCTCCAGCTCTTCTTTCTGCCACTTCTTTTCCGGGCACAATGATGCCTCACCACCATTTTGTGTTTTTTCTGGAAAGGCCACAATATACATTCTTGGTTAAGCAATTCTGAGTTGGGCAAGATGCTTTGATACCCTGAATCTCAGTTTTCTCCTCTGTAAAATAGGGATGTAATGCTTACCTTGCTGTAGGAGTTAAATGAAACAATGTATGTCAAAATAAAGGAATAAGAACTGAGTAGAGGGGGCTTCCCTGGTGGCGCAGTGGTTGAGAGTCCACCTGCCGATGCAGGGGACACGGGTTCAATCCCTGGTTCGGGAAGATCCCACATGCCATGGAGCAACTAAGCCCCCGATCCACAACTACTGAGCCTGTGTGCCACAACTAATGAAGCCCGTGTGCCTAGAGCCCATGCTCCGACCCACTGTGATGAGAAGCCCAGGCACCACAACGAAGAGTAGCCCCCGATCTTTGCAACTAGAGAAAGCCCACACACAACAACGAAGACCCAACGTAGCCAAAGATAAATAAATAAATAAGATCTGAGTGGATAGTAGGAATTGGACCAGTGAACTGATGGCTTCTTCAGGAAAGTGACTTGGTGGGGAGTTAATTATCAAACTCACTTTTTATCAGTCACTTACTTATTCACCAAATACACATTGCTGTGTACTGGGCACTAGAGACACAGAAATCAATCAGACATGGTCTCTGCATTCTAGGATCCCTGGTATTGTGCAGGAGACAGGTGTGTAGACAGGTGAGAGCACAGCAGTAGATCCATGTATGCACAGCAGGGGGCCATGGACTCCTTAATGAGGGGTAGGTATATTGTATCACAATAAATAAAAATAATACAAAGTGATGGTTGAGATGAGAAATGGAGAGGCAAGCAAGGGAAAATGCTGTGCATGCTACGTGAAGAGTGGAGTTTTTACTGAGGGAAATAAGGAGGCAGTGAGGGTTTACGAAAGACAGTGGCATGATCAGATTTACATTTACTAGAATGATAACCAGGCTGCCAGGTTTAGAATAGTCCCTCCAAATCCCAGGGACTTAAAAAAAATTGTTTTGCAGGTTATTTTTTGTGAACTGACCCTAACTGCCCATCACAGGTAGTTAAGGGACTCTATTCGTTGTACTCACTCAGGGATTCAGGCTGGTGAGCAGCCCCCATCTCAATCACCTGGCTCAGGGTAGAGACTCAGCCGACCTGTCAACACCCAGGCCTGGGGGCTCACCGGTACTTCCGTGCACACTCATAGGCCGGAATTGTCACGTGGCTTCACCCGCCCAAGGAGCCCGGAAGTAAAAATCCACCTAGGGCTCCAAAGAAGAGAAAGTGAGAGCTATTTGGGAAATGGCCGTGACCTTTCCGTTAGGTCTGATGGTGATGAGTGGAGAAAAAGAAAGCTGAGAAGGATAGGGAGAGCCAGCGGAAGAAAGGCAGTGGTTGTAAATAGGGTGGCAAAGGCTGGTGGGGGTGTGGAGTGAGCCCCGTGGGTGTGGGTGAGGTGGCAGGCAGAGGGAGAATGTAGGCTTGTTTACAGAAGGGAAGCGGTGGAGAGCAGTGGACAAACGCATTCAGGAGGCGGATCCTTGGGGCTTGGGCACGGACTGGTTTTGATAGGTGGTCGTGGGAAGGGGTCAAGGACACTCAGTTTTCTGGCCTGGGAGAAGATGGGTGGGTAGGGTAGGACCATCTCTGAGATGGGAGCAACTAGACCAGCGTTGTCCATACAGCGTTCTGTGGTGGTGGAAATGGTCTGTGTCTGCACTGTACAATTGAATAGCCACCAGCAACATCTGGCTTTTGAGTCCAAGTTATTTAATTTCAATTATTAATATGGCCAGTGACTACCTATTAAGCTAGACCATGTTTTAAAATGTAGGTTTTATTATTATTCAGATATGATCAGGGGATGATTGCCATTGAAAAGACAGCTCATGAAAAAGATACATGCAGGGACTTCCCTGGTGGTTCAGTGGTTGAGAATCTGCCTTCCAGTGCGGGGGACACAGGTTCCATCCCTGGTTGGGGAGCTAAGATCCCACAGGCAACGGGGCAACTAAGCCTGCGTGCCGCAACGGAGGATCCCACATGCCGCAAGGCGGATCCTGTGTGCCGCAGCTAAGACCCGACGAAGCCAAATAAATAAATATTTTTTAAAAAAGAAAAAGATACATGCACCCCAATGTTCACTGCAACACAATTTACAATATCCAAGACATAGAAGCAATGTAAATGTCCACTGACAGGTGAATGGATAAAGAAGATGTGGTATATGTATATGCAATGCAATACTACTCAAGCATAAAAAAGAATGAAATGCCTTTTGCAGCAACATGGATGGACCTAGAGATTATCATACTAAGTGAAGTAAGTCAGAAAGAGAAAGACAAATACCATATGATATCACTTATATGTGGAATCTAAAATATGACACAAATGAACTTTTTTTTTTTGGCCATGCCAAAGGGCTTCTGGAATCTTGGTTCCCTGACCAGGGATGGAACCCAGGCCCTCGGCAGTGAAAGCACAGAGTCCTAACCACTGGACCACCACAGAATTCCCATAAATGAACTTATTTACAAAACAGAAACAGACACACAGACATAGAAAATAAACTTATGGTTACCAAAGGGCAAAAGGGGTAGGGGAGGGATAAATTAGGAGTTTTGGATTAGTAGATACAAACGACTATATATAAAATAGATAAACAACAAGGTCCTACTGTATAGCACAGGGAACTATATTCAGTATCCTGTAATTAACCATAATGGAAAAGAATGTGAAAAAGAATATGTGTATATACGTATAACTGCATCATTTTGCTGTATACCAGAAACTAACACAACATTGTAAATCAACTATACTTCAACTTTTAAAAAAGAAGAAATGACCTATCAAGCTATGAAGAGACATGAAGGACTTATACTCTAATAAAGATGTTTAAAAAAAGAGACATGGAGGAAACTTAAATGCATATTAAATGTATATGACTTATGAAAAGACATGGCAGACACTTAAATGCGTGACTGAAACTTAAATGCATATTCTTGCAGATTGGAAAGAAGCCAATCTGAAAAGGCTACATAATGTGACTCCAACCATATGGCATTCTGGAAAAGGCAAAACTATGGAGACAAAAAGATCAGTGGTTGCCATGGGTGGGAGAGGGGAGAGATGAATAGGCAGAGCACAGAGGATTTTAAGGGCAGTGAAAGTATTCTGTATGATATTATAATGATGCATATATGTCATTATACATTTGTCCCAACCCATAGAATATACACCGAGTGAACTCGAAGATAAACTATGTACTTTAGGTGCTTATGATGTGTCAGTGTAGGTTCATTCTTCGTAAAAACTGTACCATTCTGGTGAGTGATGTTGATATCAGGGGAGGGTATGCGTGTGGAGGGAGGAGTTATACTGCAAATCTCTGTACTTCCCTCTCAATTTTGTTGTAAACCTAAAACTGCTCTAAAAATGGCTTTAAAAAGATGCATCAAGTACCAGCCACAGGCTGTAGCCGGTATCATCTCTCTAGAAGTTGAGCTGCAACATAGAAGCCATGGTTTTCTTACTGAGTTACCTGCCTGGGTTTTGTAGGAAGGCTCTGTTCTCTGTATTTTTTTTTCCTGGTTCTTGAATTATTTCTTTATATAACTTCACCTCCTTGTCTTTACTCATTTTCGTCCCATTCTTCATTATATGGAATGACTTCCTTTGGAGAGCCTCTTGCATGTTTTTTTCCCCAAAAGATTTTTTCTTCTTTGACTTCCGTTAATATTCTGACAATGTTGTAAAAACTTCTTGCCTTTATGGAGGTATTTTGAACAAACTGCGGTTCCAACGTTCAGCCAGTTGATATCTTCTTTTTAAGGAGAGTAAAGTCCCTAAGAATAAAATAGACTCCTGGAAAACTTGAAGAAATTCTGGCACAGGATAGAGTCATCCCTCACCCTAGCATAGCCATTAGCTTGAGTCCATCTTACCAGGTTTCCTTAACAGAAATGTCTGCACTTTCCACACCTCTGATGCCTGGGACTCTCTTCTAAGCCATGCCCTGACGTTCTGATGATTCTTAGCCAACACTGGATCCAAGAGGCTTCCTCTCTGCACCTGTCAAAACTATTCTAAGACCTACTTTCTCATTCTCTATTCTACTCTCTCTCTGTGACCCTCATTTCCTTCACTCACAGTTATCTACAATACTGGATTTTTTTAACGTGTTACAATATCACTTAATATAAAATGATTGCATGAAACAATACACATTTGCAAAGTCTATAAAAGCAAAGAGAATGACTGTCACAGACCGGATGACTTTTGAGCTGTTTTTTGTTCATTTAATCTCAAACATTAAGTATTCTCCAGCGGCTCAGAAGTCACCATTGGGACACCTTCCTGTCCTGAAAAGGGGATTGTCCCCTACTTGCGGGGCTTCACATCAAGGCACCGACACACCTAGTGTCTCAACCCTACGATGGATCATCTCCCTGAACGCCCCATTCCCAGTCCGGTTTCCAGGACGCAGCA